CTAGAGGAGTCTGCCTCCTTAGGAAGACAGTTTGGTGCTTTATTAGTCTTAATTCTGGCAGTTAATGGGCAACATACGTACTGTTGCAGCGTTCAGCCTCACTGAGGTGGAGATCAATCATTATTAGCGGTTTTTGTGCCACTGCGTTAAAATGAGATGAGTAAAATTAATTACCCCTGAAACCTGACCTTCCACACACAAGCCTGGAACTTCACAACCTGTAAGTGAGACTTCATTCAGAGAGATTGTACTCAAATATCAAGCTCACACACAACCTATCAAGAACAAAAATAATGAGACCCACAGTGTACTTTCCTCCACTTTCATAGATGGGTAAAATGGCATGAAGAGGAACCAAAACCTTGTTCTCAGTTGTTACTCTTACTGAAGTGGTCTATTTGAATACCCAGACTTTATCTTAACACGATAAGATCAAAACCTCACATGATTTCAGTGCAAAATTGAACATATTCCTTAATCTTTAAATAATAAAAGCAGGCAGCAGCCTTTGTTTTAGGGAGGCAGTTAAGCCGAGCGAATGAGAGCTGGTCTGTGACTCTGGTGACCAGGAGGTCCCTTCGCTGCCCTCCCACAGGCTCTGGGACTGCTTTAAATCCCTTCACTCCTCTCTGCTTCAGTCTCATCGTTTGCCAGGCAGGAGCGGAGCCAACTTTAAGCCTGGGCTGCTGATGCCCATCCATAAAGGCCTCTTGCTTGAACAACCACTTACCAGGGGAGAGGATGCATTACTTTTTTGAGATTTTAAAATGGCATTAAAAAGAACAGTTACAGTGCCTGCACGTAAGTAGCATTTAAAATGAGGTAAATAATTTGACAATATGAAGCAACAAAATTTTGCCTTAGTTTTCACAACTTCCTACAAGTGCTTTTTTTCTCTCAGGCATGCTCTGCATTGATTTTGCAGAGCATGTGTAATTGTAAGACTTGATCCTGAAGGAGGTTAATGAAACTTTTTATAGCATTTTCAGGCTACTCATAAAAATGCTGTATGTAAGCTAGGCATAATTTATTGTTTTTATTGCTGCTATTGTTATTAGGTTCTAAAATTAACAGTAGCCCACCTCAGCCACTAAAAAATGTAAGCTCCTCAGAAATAATAGATAGCAGTGACAATCTTCTTTATCTGCTTTGGCTACAATTGCCAGAATTTCTGTTCTCAGTCGTCCAAAATGTGTGGTCAGAGTATCTCCTAGAAGGCAAAGTAGCATGAAAAGAGAATAAGGAAAAATATATTTTGCTCCCCATTTTCTGCAATACCTTTCCCCTATTCTCCTAACATTTTCGTTTGCCCATTCAGAACCTCTTTTCCTTAAAGAAATCCTGTCTTTCCATGTACTCCTTCTTCTTAGATCATGGTGGTACAGCCTGATTGTAGGGCACAAGTAGTGAATCATAATAGCAAATGTCAACAGGAAAAGATCTCCATTAGCCCATTAGCTATTTGAGTTCATATTTATTATTTACTGAATGGCTGTGAGTAATGAAAAAATTGCTCTAAATCATAACAGATTTGTGGCTAAATCTCTAGAAAAAAGGGAAAAATCAGTTAAAGCCATTACAGAATCTATTTGCAAGGAAAAAATTGCCACCCTCTCCTTAGTATTATATAGGGAAGACATAGAACCAGCAAGAGAAATAGAGGTAAGCAGTGCAAATCAGTTAGTTAGGGATGCAAAAATTGGAAAGTCTAAAAATGACAGAAAAGTGAAAGAAATTCTCACAAAATGCTTCCACAGAGCTATCTGCCCTAATCTCTGCAGGTTAAATTTATACAAGCCTCAGTGAGTTAGACAACATTGGAGATTGGCACCCCAAGCTGTGCTTCCTGTCAGTATTTAAAGGGAGTAAATTAGGTTAGGTAAATGCCATTCCAGCTAAATAAGGCTAATCTTTGGACTGCCATGCCTAATTTGTGCACAAGTTTGGGCTTAATCTTTTTTTCGTAAGATACTGGGTCAGGTCAGTAGTGCCACCAGTACAAAAAGTATGAAAGTTTGTCATTTAGGCTTGTCTTTCTAAAGGTAAATGAGAATTTTGTAGCTATTGTACAAATGGACAGAGGAATCACAAATTGTACAATTGAAGGAAAATACCAATTCCTAGCATGCAGCTTGTGTAGTAAACAACGAAAGGAACCTATCCTAAAATAGAATAGCATCTAAATGTTTTTCTGTGGGCTTTGTGGAGCACATGCGGTGATGCTTCTTCGTGCACTTACTTGAGCAGTTCTCTAAATGAGATTCCATTCTAGGATAATCTCAAAGACTATGTAAGAACCAATCGTGGTTTTATGTTTCCTCCTTAAAGAAAATACGTGGTATCAGGAGTCATGTTATCAGACATTATCTAAAATCTTATACCTGTTAAAAAGTCATGCTCAGCATCATATTTAATTAGCTCTAAATTCTTTCTTTCGTTGCAAAGTCAAAGGCTTTCCAAATTATTGCAGCTATTTGAGTATTTTTAGGCAAGAGCCTATTAATGCTGAAGTGTTTTTTTACAAAAACATGCTATAGCTAAAGCTCACGATGGAAGTAATTTGTAATATGCAATGACCTCATTTTATTCTGTTTTGCTCACTTGAAGCTAATGCATATGATGCCATGTGAAATTCTCAGACGAGGCTGTCTGCAGGAGTTATGGGAGCCATAAATGGATTAAACCTCTCACTCCCTGCTTTGGCAAGTGATCAGTTACGTTTAAATAAAGGTCAGTCTGTCTTTACAAAGAACACACTGAAAGCAAGCTTAATAGCTTTCCCT